GCCCCGCCCATCCCAGCCCCACGCCTGCGCAAAAGCCGTGTTGTGCCCCTCCCGGGGGCGGAGCCGGCGGTGTGACTGACACGTTCCCCCCCAACGAGCGCTCCCGCGCCCAGCCGGCAGAGGGCGCCACCACGCTCCCGGCTTTTCTCTTGACGTCACCCTCTGCGGTGACGTGACTGTCAGTCCGTCAGCCTCGTCACCAGGTAACGTGGAGTTCGGGAAGGGGTTCTGGCAATGGGAAACGGCTTCAGTTTGTATGGGAATGGCCGTTACATCAATTAACCGGGGCTGTTCCACCAACCAACAGTTACTGCCCCATTAGCTAATGCAGTGCCCTAGTTCGGCCCCCGGTGATGTAATCATACGGTGTTTTTAGGCATTTCCACAAAGTTGGTCTTTTTAAAAAACAAATTTATTGCCGCTATCTGGAGATCACTACAGTTGCATCTGCTTTTCCACGCATGTCGTTTTCGTCACTGTGCGTAGTCTCTGATGGCCAGGAGTGTGATTTTCGAAGCATTTTTACTGGATTTTCAAATGTTTTTGCACTGGGAGCTGAGGAAATACTGTTTTGGGAAGGGAGGCTTTGGCAGCAGGCATGTACGGGGCCCGGTGACCCCTGGGCTTCGTGCTGATGATGCCCCAGCATGCCATTTCCTTTACTTGGTTCCAAAACACCCTCTCTTGTCTCCATTGCACGAGCTAGCATGTAACTAACCTTTCTTTGATGAGCCAGAGCCTCCTCTTTGTCATTTACCTGAGTATTTTTTAAAAAGAGAAAGAAAATAAAGCTGTTTATAAGCAAAGAACAAGGCAGTATATGTAAATCCACTGTTGTATTTGCTCCCCTAAGGACTCATGATGAATAGTTTAACAGAACACTAACCAAATCTATTAACATCTTCAGGATTTCATGAGGATTGTCTATCTCTTCCACTTTCTTGCAGTCCACATCTGATGAAAGGAGGCTGGATAATTTTTGTCCCAGACTGGTTTTGTTCCCGTGTAACTTGACACATCCTAGGGCAAACAAAAGTACGTGAACTGTGGAACTTAGGAAAAGAAAAACTACCTTGGGATAAAACATGCATGTGTAAAACTGGATTCTGAACAATCTCCTCTAAAAAGGCAATGCAAGCTACAGCTTCTCCCATTGTATGTGCATAATACAGCAGATTACTTGCATGCAACACTGCTCTCAGCCTCACTTAAAGGCAAAATAGACCTTTCATCATATATATGGGCAAATTGAAAATAAATTTATTGCTGTATGGAAAATAACACTTTGACACTCTAGTTAAATAATAATTCATGGTAGTTTGTTTTTACACAGTAGGTAGCCTGAAAAAAAAAGATTCCTTGACATAAGCTGTTTAAAAGTTTCTAAAATTATTAAAAGACATTAAAATCATGAAACATATATATCAGGATATAGCTCTTGGAAACAATGATGTTGTTATAGGGGAAACATATTCAAGGTGTATGCTGTTTTAGTATCACATCCTGAGGCTGCTCAAGAAATCTAGAAGACACACCGAACTTTAAAGCCTGGCACCTGCAGGTCAATGTCTACCACAAATAGATCTTGAAGTGCCAATCCTAAATTCTGCTATGGTTTTGACCATGACATAAGCACTTAAATACTTCTCATTATCCTTTTTCTTAATGAAGAAAAGGACAATTAGAAGGCTTCCTCTTTTACAAAGGGCTTTGTAACTCACTTTGTAACCCGTTAAGTGTAAGAATAACTATAAATACCAATGTAGATACACATGCATAATAAAAAACTAAAAACGTTCTCGAAACTCAGAAAAAAATCTATTTAGTATTTCAGTGAAAGCTCAGTATATTTTTTTTTTGCATTTCTCCTCCATCCCTAACACATATATAGAGCTTGTCTGAAAAAAACCCAGCAGCACATTGAACTGTTGATAGCATCTAAAATTGCCATGCTAAACTCGCCAGACTTTAGCTTTTTTGTGCTGTTCTCATAATAAACATCTTTAGAATCCAGAATGTTATTGTCATCCTGCACAACAGCTTATTTATTCTAGCTTTGTTTTACTCACATGATACAGTTCATGAATGTGCAAAAACAAAAAGTTACATTAAAAGCCTAGACTGGCATCTCCAATGTCCTACAGTAGCATTTATATATTCCACTTATACACAGACACACTACATTACATATGCGAAACTTCTGGTAGAAATTTTTCAACTACATGACATACTATTTAACGTATTTATAGTTTTGACATAAATTTGTTCCTTTTTCTTGACTCTTCATAAACCTCAGTCAGCAATTAAGCCACAACCACACATTCAATGCAATAAGAAAGTCTGTTTGTGCCACTTGTCAGTTAACTTATTTTCTAGTCAACTGTTACAGATACATAGCATGCCCCATTACCACCATCTTTCAGACGTCTCCAGTTCATAAATTTCGTTTCCTTCTTAACCTTTACCACTTCTGCAAGCCTCAGGGCTTGGTCCTTCCTCTGCATTAGCTGCTGCTCAAAAGCAATTCTGAAGGCGTCTGCCATTATATAAGCTTCATCTTTACTCTTCTTCAAATTTTCAATCTGGTTTTAATTCAGAGAAAAGTTAAAGCATATTAAGCAATTTGGAAGCAACAGAAGATTTAAAATGTATATCAAAGAGACAGACTGAAACCATCAACACAGAAAACTTTTAAATAAATACAATCAAGGAAGTAGTAGAAACCAAACTAAGTGCTTTCCTGCCACATTAAGAAATACGTTTTGAAATGTGTATTGGAGTCCTTCCCCTTCCACGCATGCACACACCACCACCCATCTACACAGACAAGCTGCCAGCAGTGCCCATTATCTCTGCCCGTGCAGAAGAGCTTGAGGAGGGCTTTAATGTCCCATGCCAGTTGGACCAGGAGCAAAAGGAGCAAAAGAATGTCAGGGGTAATAACTTTGCGACAAAAGGGACATGACAGTACTTATTTTCAAAACCAGTAAGTCAGCTGGAACTGCTGCAGTGGGACCACGAGGATGGTTACCACGTTTCCAGAGTCAAATACAAATAACAAGAGAAATTCTTATGTCTAAAACTATAGAATTCCACTGAACTAAAAGCCTTAAGAGCTTGAAAATCATGTTATTGATTGAAGTGTGATGTAAATATAGTTTTCAGCAAGATCAGCTTCCTGACCCAGCTGGATGAGGGGGCCTGTGAGTGCTGGTGTCAGCATGAAGGAGGGGTGGAACACACCACCACGAAGGAAGGAAAAGGGTAGTCATCCTCGTCAGTGGCAGTCCACGCTCACACTGCAGACACATTTTAGAGAGTGTATCCTCTTAAAGTGTACACATATTTTTAGATTAAAAAATATGCATGGAAGAAAAAAAATGAGAAAAAGAATTATTTTTGCACTAGTAAATCTGATGGATATAACAATTACAGTTTTGTATCAGCAAAGGTTAGGGCATTACAAGCATTGCGAACAAACAGCATTACCTCTTGCTTGAGCTGAAGAAGCTGCTTTCGAGTTACAGCTGCCATTTTTGCACAGGGACAGGGTTGGCCCCTGGAAGTACTGCAGGTGCACGCCCCAAGAACTGCCAGCTTACAATCCAAAACAAACCACAGGTTAAATAGCTATCTGCATACACAAATCTAATACAAGACATGCTGGATGACCAGCAAAAAACCATCCTGAAACTATAAAGGGAGTGTAAGGGTCAGGGGAAGCAAGCTACAAGAGATTTAGGCATAATTTCTTCTAACTCACAACCACACATGTCAAATGTATTTTTCTGCATGACAACCTAAATGCAAATATTGTCAGCCTGTGTATGCTACTCCTTGCAGACCTAATTAGAATTTTTTTTCACTCAATAAAGTAAAGCAGTAGGCATAGGAGTTAAAAATGAAGATATTAGGAAGAAAAAATTAAGCATGCTGGCTTGTGAAAGATAGCCTGATGCTCCTTCTGTCTACTCTGCCTTTGCAAGATAGGAATCATGATGCACCACAGATTAGAACACAACCATGCAAGGGCATATGGTCATCAGCTAAAAATGGATCCAAAGAAACAGTTAAATAATCATCAAGCAAAATTTATCTATATATTTTGAATATAAACATATCTTTGAACCAGCCATTTTGAAGAACATATAAGTCACACTTACTTCAAGACCTGTAAAATCTGTAATGTCGCTTTTATTCAAGGACATGTTTTCCTGAACAACCTTCTGTTGTCCCACATCTAGCATTGCAAGAAATTCTAAGCACTGCTGATTCAGGACTACGAAATAGAACATGAAAAGTGATTAAAAAGTCTACTGCTCCCATTTCTGAATTTCTGGGTATAACTACACCTAAATTAAGCGGTTCTGTAGTTTAATCATCACTTTGGGAATGTGATGAGACTGTGTAGATCTACAAACTCAGATCCTAGTTGTCTTCTGTGTTTTCCTAGAGGTAATAACCCGCTCACAGAGATACCATCTCATGTATTACTCTGCCTCCGTATTAAGAGCTCTTCTCTTTGTACACTTAGTTCTAAGGCAGCTGCTCTTTTAGAATAGCACAATATTGGGAAAATAATGATGTATGTCCGCTATTTTAAAGCTTTTTGGAAACCACAAAATAAGGGAAAGGGGCTTGAGCCACTTGACCCAGCCAGACCACTGCACAACCTGCAGTTTGAAAACCTCCCCTATAGAGCCATCAATCTGAATCCTTCAAAGTCTGTGCTATGGGAATCTTTGTGTAAGTATGTTAAAAGTGCATGTCTCTTGATGCAGACTGTGGCTGTAGCAGGAGCACTCGGCGGCTCCCCTGCCTGCTATTACCTTCTTCCAGGATAGGACTGGAAGCACGGACCAATTTTGTCCCTCCACACCCAGGGTGTCACTGTGCCCATGAGATAAGATAGGTGTACTTCTTTCACACCTGATCTACTCCTTAAGCTATGCCTACCTGACTTTTCCTATCATTTCATGTTGGTTTTTTTCAGTATAAGTGACAATGAGAAAAAAACCAAACACAGCTTGTCTGTTTAAAGAGGGTTTCTGCATATCCACTAACACCACCTGCCAGTAACAACAGACTTATCCAGAAAGAAAGCTTCCTTCGAAGCTAAATCCAGAATTATTCCTGAGAAACAGTATGTGAAGAGGAATAGCTGTTGGTGGCTTACTTGCATTTTCATCTTTAAGAGTTTTAACTTCTTCTGTTCTCAGTTTCAATGCTTCCTTAAGAGCGGCATTTTCACAATATATCCTGCATAAGTTAGAAAAAAGGTTGTGTTATCTTTTAAAAAAATACTTAAAATGGCACTCAAATAAAAAAAAATAGTCTATGACATTGTAACTAATATTTCTGCAAATTAGGATTACTGAAAGGATTGAAGAAAAACATCAAAACTGAAGAGTCGAGTATTCGTTTTGACAAGATATTATCCACACAGCATTATACATAGAGTTTCCTCACTTGTAAAATTTTTTACAAAAAAAAAAGAAAAATTTTTCCAAAACAACTGTACCTTCAAATCTGCTAGCCAGGGACCAATAAGCAACCTAAAACTACACCTAAGTAACTCTCTGAAGACAGTTTTGTGTGTAGGCTTGGTCTGACTGACACAGAACCAAGGCTAAGAAAGCAGGCTATGCCAGGCTGGCTTCTGTGGAGTCACTCCTCGTTAATCTGGGCGGCAGTTATTCTGCAGGGAGCAAACCCAGGAATTTCTGCACTCATACAGTGGTTTCTCTGCAACCCAGATAGCATGTGCTGTTCAAACACGCTCACCTTGTTCATGAACCACACCCTTGCACAACCAATTTAAATCCGTCCAGGTATGTTCAAGTGAATGTTAACAAAGAAAATTAAAAAAAAAAAAAATTCACGTCTAAGTAAATGGTGCCAACAACTTCAGAGTATAACAAGAGGTGAATTTAAGTACCACATTACCATTAGAAACTCAAATAAATTAGTAGTTATGAACCTGTGGAGCACTTGCTAGAAATCTCTTACTTCCTTGAAAGAACAGAATTGTTACTGGACATGTGACAATATGGCTCTGGTCTTAATTTTAGAAAGTAAACTTCCTGTATTCTTAATACTGTTCAAGAACAGCTGTACTTTCAAGCTTTGCAACCTGAGAACATAAAATATGCATTTATAACACATTTTTCCTTGAAGTATTAAAGTATTTCCTTCTTGAAAAGTGGGAATATAAAGTCCTAAATGTTAAAGCAATACTACTTTTTTTATGCATCTCTTCAGCTGTCATTAAATGTGGCATACTGCAACTTCATGGTTTTGTTTAAAACTAAATAGTAACCTGAATTATTTGACTTGAATAAACAAAGGGAAATACACATTTTTCTCATCCTGCTGTCTCAGATATCAGAAACCTTTTTGCAAAGCAGACTGAGCTCCTGTCTTGCACTCTTCTGAAGCCATGTCTTTAGATTTCAATAGTTAACACTGATTTTGTTGCTCTGAACTACCTGGTACACTTCCTACTCTCTGAAGTCAGGAAAACCAAAGGATTTTTCATGAGGTATCCCTTAACAAGTGTAACTAAGTTAACCTGTGAACAAGACACAACATCTTAACAAAATTCTTCTTACAAATGAATAGTTTGTCAACTTTTGGCTTATTCTTTGATTCTAAGGTTGAAAATTTGAAATAAAGATCGCTGGAATAACTGTAAATCTGACAGGTAGACATCAGATATATCTTTCCTACATTTAAATAAATTAGCCTGCTGGTCACATTTTTCAAGGTCTGTTATCACATTATTAGTTTAGTGCCTGTGTCATCTTCTGCTTGCTTAACCACACCTGCTGTCCATCCAGACTGACTCTTATTTAAACAAAGAACCAGTTGATCAGCCTCTCTCAAAAGCATTCTGTTTTACCTGTACATATGCTCATACCTACAATGCAAGAAAATAAAGCAATGATTAACCAGCAAATGATATTTCCACACGCATGCACATACCATTATTTTCCATGCCTCATTTACATCTAAAGTAAATAAGGACAGTCTGTCTCCAGCTGGCTAACATAATAACTTAATAGGATGAAAATGAAAACTCAGCCTAACAAAGCTAGACCATATATGCACTAAAGAATTGGGATTTAACAATTTTAGTAGCTTTAGTTGAAAAAGACAAATGTGATGAGCATGAAAATTAAATAAATCTTCCTAAATCTGGGAGGAAATTATGAAAAAACAAAAACCCCAGAAAACCCAGTGAAGCGAGCTTGGAACACAAGAAAGATGACAAATAGCATTCAATGCAATTAAAACACAACCCAAAGATACACAGTGTAAGTCAAATACCTGTCATATTTTTCTGTCCATGTGTCTTCTATGTTTTTAAATCTATCCTGATCAAATTCAATTTCCCATTGCAAGATATTTATTTCCTGTGGAAACAAAACAAACCTGCAGCAGTTCATTACAAGCCTCCTACTGAAAGGAAGAAGAGCTTTTGGTGCTGAGTTGGGCACTGGCAGAGACCTAGGTGACCAACGATGATGGCAATCTATGATACTGTTAAAAATATGTTTAGTGCCAGACACCAAAAAGTTTCTGCATCACTGATCTATGGATTTCAGACCGTGTTGCATGACAAAAACAAACCCACACTGTCACCTTTCCCTGTCCCCTTAACTGTTTTGTGGAAAGGTCACACAGGAAGAGAAACAAAGCATAAAACTAATTTTAACAAGGTAGCTCAATGCCACCTTCCTCCTCCTCCCCATCTTCCCTATGAAAACTGGGCACCCACTTCTTACACTCTCTGCAAAGTTCCAGCTTAGTAACTAAGAAATAGCACAACTCACGGCAAATGGCTGTGAAACTCACAACAGAGACCAACTGAAAGTACAGAGAGAACTCTGGTAACTTTCAGGTGTTATTTGTACACACTTTAGGATAAAAACATTAAGATTAAAAGAGTGATACATGAACGTTTTCCGTTTCTACTACAAGGGAGTAAGAATACTTTCAAAAAAAACTGGAATTCATGTCAGATTTGTACTGATTTAAATAAACAGGCTGATAACCCCCTATTAATAGCAATGAATGTCTATGTTTTTTGCACAGGTGTGAAGGAAACACGCACCCTTACCTTTTCTAAAGTTCTCTTTTCTTCCTCAGTTTTTTGAAGCATTGCTTTTGTATGGCTAGTGGCTTTATCAAATACTGCCTGCAAAAAAGTACAACTCTGTCAAATACTGAACTATCATTAAGTTTACTTAATTTGGCTTTAGCCAAATTGTCAGTTTTACATCAAGAGAAGTTCACATTCTTTCTTAAACAGGAGCATGCAGAATTGCAAACACTAGCAACTTGCTTATAAGTCCCAGTGAGTTCTAATTTCAAGTCACTAAATATGTTGCGGAACAAACTTGTGTTTCGATCCCGTAATCTTTTTTATTGAAAAAAGTAGCATCATTTAAAATGAGATCACATCTTCTTCAGGGCTTGTCCTCAAAATCAACTCTTAAAAAAACTGGGTACAACATAATCATACTTTGATCCAGGTGTAACTTACTAAGAATATCTGAGAGTAGAAATTGCAGAACTATAAATGGGGTATGCAAGTAGGCTAAAAAACAGGAACTAATTTCAACATAATTCACTATGACAGTGAATAAAAATATCACAAACTGTGAACAAAAGACTGACCTAACATTTAGTACATACTGTCCTCTAAGACAACAGATGAAGTAGTTAACTGAAGACATCTATGCTTTGCAGTATTTCAAACACTGCCAAAATATATAATTTAAAAGACTGGAAAGAAGGCCTTATTCCTTAAGTTAAATGTACAAATCTTCAAGAATCCTTAAAGATAAAATTATGAGAATTTGCTACAACAGTAAAGTCTGCAAGGTTCCATGCAGAAAAAAGGACGAAATCATAGCCAAGTCTGTAGACACTTGCAGACTCAATGGCTTAAATTATAGTCCTGGGAAGAACTTAAGGCTTGGGGGGTTTTGACGAGGTGCGTCAGGAAGATTTATTCAGTTTTCTTTACCTACCATGCTCTGCAGAATTCTTAGGGCTTCATCTTTTCCTTCAAGCTGTCTTTGAGATGCTTCAAGCTCAACTTTCAAAATTTCAGCTTCCTGAAGCAAAATAAGATAGGTACACAGAGTAAAAGCCAAGGTAATCCTGTTAAAACTCGACTGTAACAGAAATGTAAATTTGCCTCTTCAGTCTTCTGTTTCTACCCTATATGATTCTTTTCTGACTGAAGAAATGTTAACAGTGCATGCCAGCAGAAAATCCTTAAAGAAGAATACTTGTAATTATTATTCTTTCTGTTCTCTTCCAGTGTCTGTGGAAAATAAACCACTAAATATTGCAGTTCTTCCTTGCTAAAGAACTTCTATATACCAACGTATGTCTAGAGCTTTAAAATAAGTATGCAAAACAGAATAGCAGATATACAGGCATGCAAATACAGGCAGCAGATAAAGAATATAATAAATATTACAAATAATAAAATATAAATGCTACATTAATATAATGTACTCTGTATTACACAAAATATCCACACTCTATAGCACAGGTATCATTTCAGGACTGTTAGATCAAAGCCACTACTTGTCCAGAACAAAACAACAACAACTAAACAGATTCCTACCCCAGGTACAAGCCAATCATGTTTTTATGCATGCCTGTATTTTTCATAGCTCTTACAGTTCTGTTACTTCAGCGATTGATACTGAAATTGTACCTGGGAGCACTGGCAATTTATCAGTTTCGTCTAAGTAAAAATGAGTAAGGTTCCTTGACATTTTAACTTGCTGCACACTCAAGGTTCTTCATGCTAAGACAGCTTGAAAACAACCTACCACAGTTCCTAACACAGGCTGTCCTGAGGTTAACGAACACAGTGTAGATGAGGTGTGTATTTTTACAGCTGAGATCACCCTGCTCTTTCTGCCTGGACTGATGCAAACAGATCAACACATTTAACCCCAGTAAAATTAAAATGTAGGAGTTAACTACCTTTCAACAAAAATGCAGATTAAAAATCCAAAGACTATTCCATTTACACTGTAGATTTTCAGGCCTGACGCTTAATAAAAAAAAGAAAACCTGACAGAAAATAAGTACAATCCTTTTAATGTTCTTTACATCTTTAAAAATACTTCCCCACCCAAAAAAAAAAAAAAAAAAAAAAATTCCAGAGTATAAACTGCACTTCACACTCTGATTTCCCAGCATAAAATTTAATGAGGCTTTCAAATACCATTCTAATTTTAAGAACCTGAATCCATCTAAGACTCTGGACATGCCAAGATCTTCAGGTAAACTGTCACTGTGCTTTACTTTGCTACACTAAAAGGAAAACAAGATTTCAAAAGCAGCACACTTGGCACAGTTACTAACCTCTAGAGCTTCCCGAAGTTGTTGCTTTAGTTCTTCATTTGACACTCCAGTGTTAGTTTCCGTAGAATTGACAGGAGATAATAAGCTATGAGATACTATAATATTTACAAAAGGAAAAGTGAGAATTTGCTTTAGCCTGAAAACAAGTAACATGCAGAGGTGAATTTTCACCTTTGTGGTTTTTTTTTCTTCTAGAGCTAATAAACAGATCTAAGAAATACATAAATACCAAGCTCAAACACACTGTTCCACAGTTAAAGAAGTGAAATGGGAAAAAAGGTCAGTTGTAAAGAGACCTAAAATAAGGAAAATTATTTTAGATTTCCTTTAAAAAAACACAACAAAATTGCCATTTTATTAAAAAAATAATTCTGTTTTTTAGATTCTTTTAAAATTGTAACTTTTCAACAACCAAACAACACAAAGTTGCTAGCACTACTCAGAAGTAGGGGCAACTTTCAAGAGATGAAGATGAGTATGGTGGTGGTGTATCCCCCAAGATCCAACATTCCTCTAAACAAGCAGTTACCACTGGTACTGTTTTTCTTAAACTGAGCATCACAGACATACAGAATCACAGAATGTTAGAGATTG